ACAACAAACTTTGATATTCGCCAACATGACGTGTAGTATTACGGAGTGTATCAAAATAAACTTTATTTTAGTTTTAGAACTCCTAAAAATTTGTTTACTTTATAACGTATACTTAATTTAAATTTAATTATTTAAAACGTATAGGAGTTAGCCGCTATATACATTATACACTAATGTTGTTTGTTATACATTTAATGCCATGCATGTGCTATGATGACATCGAATATTTTCTTAAGTAATAAATCTTGACCTTAATATTTTGATTTTGTAGAAAAGTCAAAATGTATTTTCATATTATAAAATAGATATTTAATCGTGTCCGATGTTCCGGGCCATATTTTAGGTTTTTATTGACAAGACAGTACATTTATAATAATATTATAATTTTTTCCGCCGTTTTTAACTGAAATTTGTTTTACCTACATAATTTGCGTATTTAAATAAGTGTTTTTATATTTTACAATGTTCGTGTTTTGAAAACAAAATAAATACTTTATTTTATTGCGATGGTGGAAAAATAATTGCATTCTTTCGACAATATAACTATAATATAGTTTACCAACATTGTGAATATTATATAAACAATGGTTGCAAATATAAAGAAATTGAGCGGTAACCTCAATAATAATCTTTTATTATTTTTTTTTTACGGATTTTATATTTTACAGTTAAGTACAAATATGATGAGTTGTCTATATTAGATACGTACCTACGTGGCTAAAATATTCTAGATATTTAAAGTTAAAGGCATATTATTATGAATAAAATTCAACAAGTCATGGTGATTATATTTTTTATTGTAATTAATATTCTTTAAAGCACGGGTCATAGGTATATATTATTATTATGTTACTTGAATTACTTTATTATATGATTAGGTGATTTATATATATATATATATATTATATATATAAACAATAGGCTTAAACAATAATAACATATCATAACCGTTTTATCGTATATGTTGCTCCTGTATAAAATGTTCTTCATTAGGTGTCATTGACTGGTACTTTCACTTTATATTTGTATTCTGTGGAAGACTTAATACTAAGAATTATGTGGCATTTAAAACAATGCAAGTTCTTGTTGTTTATTACTCTTTGTGTTTTTGCAATAATGACAAAAAGAAAGTCCATGACGTATTGACATGTCAAATCTGACTTTGCGAGTCTCGAATAATTTTTGATTTCAAATCATTTCGACAAACACAAAAATTATGAATCACAATTTATGATCAATAGACGTTTCAATATATATTTCTTTTTATTTGTTGTTGAAAATTAGAAAATATTAAATTAGAAACTTGAACGATAGATTGTACGTGTTAAACAATCCTATATTGCACAGTAATGTATTAAGTTGTTAAAAATTCATAGGTAGGTAATATTAAATTGAATTTTTAAATGATGAGTGATATCTTTGATTTCACGTTTTTAAATACAAATTAATACACGTAGGTACTTTATACTTCATAAGTTACAGTACACAAAATCTATGCAAATTACTCTAAAGTTTTATATTATTTTTATATGTGACTGCAAAGTAATTCCCATAAATCAAGCAGTGAAGAGTATTAAACTTTTTGGTAGTTTTTTACTTGTAGATAAAGGTTCGAGGAATAATATATTTAACGACAAATAAAAACATTAAAATTATAAAAATGTCAAAGGTACGTGCAAAATTAAATTATTTTACTAGGTTATTTTTATTATCAACTATAATAATATACATAACTCTATTGTCATCGTCAGTATTCAATAATCAGTTGTGCATTTGGTTATACATAATGTAATATGCCAGTAATTAATTTATGAACATACTAACAATATATTAATCTACAACGTATTATATTTTATTATACCAAACGTAAATTATTGTTTAGAATTTCATATGAACCTTTACCGAATAATGTATAATTATTGCATATGTCTTAATCTGGTTGAATCTGTCGTAACTCGGGCGATAAGGATTATCGTTTTATGTGGAAACATTCAAATTCAGTGATAATGCTCTTTTTTATGTAAAATATTGTTTTATGGGGTACTTAAAATATTTTCGAATGGTTTAAGTTATAGAATAATTAACGAGCGTGGTTTATTGAGACAGGAAGTTATTAAAATTTGATAATTGACGCGGAGAAAAGAATGCTGGTAAAAAAAAATAAAATAATAATAAAACAATATAATATAAGCTATAAACAAATTGATAAAAATGTTAGTACTGCACAGTCATTAGTCAGAGTATTACAGATAGTATTATTATTATTCTAACACTATAGCCACGTGTATGGTACAAACTACGTTTTCGTGCATACCTATTATAGGTACACCTAAAAACATTAATGTTGATGATAAATAATGATAATCGATAATTATTGTAAATACTGATTTGACGTGCAGTTTCATGTGCCCGGTGTGTGTAAATTTGTATAATATTAGTTACGTTATTGAAGAAAACTTATTGTTTGAATTTTATTTTTGGAACAGAAAAAACAAATCACGTGTTTGTCTGTCGCTAGGATACGTTAAACGGTCATCCATAAAATGATGCCGAATTTTTTTGGCGTATATAGGTGGTTTCACGCACCTCGCACACTAGAAATAATAATATAAATAGGTATATTATTATAACCGGTTATCATATATAATTATAATATTAAGTTCCCACTGCCGTTCGATGGCATACACGTTCATTAATGATATTTTACGTAATAATAATAATAATAATAATAAACTCTGCATATATTATTACTATCACTACACAGACGCATCAAGTCCACCTGCAGCAGCTACAAGGTGAATTCAATATAGTCTGCGACGACAGTGTGGGAAACCGCTTTTTTTTAGTTACCCCCTTTCTAAAGCCTGTGCAGTCAATGTTTTGGTTCAACTCCACGGTGCAGGAAATGTCTCCATGGTGCCGTCTCTCGGTCTGAGTTGTTGGTTTCGCAAGAGATTCAAAGCTTTCCGTGTAAACGCTTATTTTGTCAGGAACATCACATATACCTATATTATAGTATGACAAATAGTGATCGCGTGAGGTTCGATGTAGCTTATAAATCATATACACATTTATATATTATAATATTATTTTAAATAGGTATACATTTTTTCGTATACACACAAACAATATATTGTTTTTCAATGAATTAATAGTGAAGCCAATAGATAATATTATATCAAGATTGACTCAAGTGATTTACTAGTTAAAAAATAAAAGTTATGATAACTACTAACGCAAATTAACTGTTTTTTTTTATTTTAACGTGAGATTATTGAGTTTACAATTTTTATTTTAAGTCAATTTATTTGGTTTACAATTACATTTATATTTCGTTTAATTGTCAAAACATATTTCGTGTATAATGTTTGAAGTGATTTGTTTTCTTTCAATGACGAAATAATTCAATGAAATAATATATAAAATACTGTTTAAATACTAGGTACTATTTTTTTTCTGTTTGAACTGATGCCGCCGCGGGAACTGTTTTCGCATTGCTTCCGCGACACCGCCGAATACTAGGTACTTACATTGTTTTAAAGTTATAGTTAAAAAATTAAGTAGACTAGTGTTATAAACAAAAAAACATTTTGTAGCTTAATAAAAATATTTAAAAAAATGTGAAACTTGAAAACTTGCCCGATTTGAGTTAAGCTATATTACACATTTATATATACTTTATTATTAAGTTATATATTGTAATTTATATTAAGTATATTATGGACTAAGTGCACTTAGTTTGGTTGCAGGATACAAGGTTATAACCGAAATGACAACATTTTATAAAGTAGACTTAACATATTATTATTATAGTTTCACGTAGGTACTTCGTTGGGTACTTACATGACATATTAATAGGTATAATATAATTAAACACGTCACCTTATATCATTAATTAATTAAATTGCAATTAATACAATACATAATAATTTACCTGTATGTATGATGTACCTAAAATAGATGTGTACTGTATATTATGGAATATTTTTTTCATAATAATAGTATAGAAACACTAACCGGACGTTATAATGTTAATATTAATATTAAATACTATATACAGATTTGCGCAAGTGTGCTTAACATACTGTGCTATTGTATTTTTATAGTGACTCGAGCGGATAGTGTAATACGATATTATTACTACAATACTATGACATGTCGTTGTGGTAGTATGGTGTTTTTTGTTTAAAAAAAAAAAGTTGCAATATCCGGAGATTTGGTGGCGTCGGCGGCGCGGCAGTTGGTTGGGCCGGTAGATGGCGCTGTTTACGGAGGCCGCGCGCGCTCGGTCTCTACGCACAATCCAATATCGTATTCGTGTATGCGCGCGAACGGGTAAACTCGCCGCACCGGCACCGGCGAAATTACAGTGTTCAGTCGCGAGCGAGAACACGGGCCACCACTTGCCGCTTCTGTACGCCATAAATCGTTATCCGTTGTGTTATTTATTTTTGAATTCTCGTCGCCTTGCTCGTTTTCGGTTTTTTTTCTCGATTTGTACACATTTTTTTCCCTCAACGGCGGTACATATAAAACGCATATATTACATTTATATATATTTATATATATACACATAGTGTTTTCCGTCGTGACGTRTTTTAACTGTGCGAAAATAAATTATCATTATTATTAGGTATTATCATCGGTTTTTTTTTTATGATTATTATTGTTGTTAATACCTCGCTTATATTATAATATTATTATTATACCCTACATTAATTTTTGCCGAGTGTCAAATACGTTCGCGTATACGGCTTTTTCGACATAATTATATTACGACCATCGCTGTATCTAATAATTTTAGATAGATTCGGTCGCGAACTCGTTCGTATTACAATATTATTATAATTATAGTAATAACATTGATCGACGACAACGATGACCGTTTTACCAGTGATCTAATATCGTATTGTGTATATTACGTCGACAACAATTGATTATTATTACACCTATACTCTGCTAATATATTGTTATATATAACGAATATTTTAACCGTGTAGACTGAGCTGCTCAGTTGCTGTTATCGAAGCCACTGCTGCCGATAAGGAATACCGTAAGTTCGGACGTGCTTTCGACTATTCACCGACCATGGACGTGCTACCGAGCGGTAACATATTCCGGGAACTTCAAGACATACATGATACCGGTTATTTCTCTGCACATGTATCACTCGAGGATCACTGGCAACAGGTAATGCACTTCCATACGATTTTAGTTTATAAGCTATATTCGAAAGCCCCCTAATCGTGTCAATAACGATGACATAATATAAACCCTACAGCATAATATAGTGTATAGTAGGATATTTTGATTTGCAGATATACCTAACCCATCATGCGTAAGAACATTCAATTATATACCTACCTCATAATATTACTCACATATTTCTTTTTTTCTTAATTTTAATAATAATTGTAATCACACAATCGATTACATAATAATATTATAATATTATTTTTAACAATATATGAGTTTTAGTTTATTAGTAATATTCGGCCAAATGGACGGATTTATGGATCATCCCGCTCGATGAACTTTTGGACGATATTATAAATAATAGGTAGTGTATTTAAAAAACGTAGTTATTGCCATAGCGAGTGTCCGCATGGTCGCACGTGCGTCGCGTCTTTATGTAACATCATATTATAATATTTCATTTATCTCGTATAGGTAGGTACACACATTCCACCTTTCACGCTAAAATTTAATGTATTGTTATGTCACACGTGCACTTTTGTATATAGAATTGGCTGCAGTCGAGCATATTATATTTTACCACAATAAATTGTTTTTTTTGGGAATTTTTTTAACTTATTTTCTATCGTATATTATAATTTTATTTTTGGCGCCTATTTTCCACAAATTCGCGTACCGGGGATCAGCTGCATTGTATTTAACGATAATGATTAATCGTATTTTACCGATGTGATCAACTTATTCATTCGGTCGCCAATAATGGAACATAATTAATTTATCATTATACCAATAGAACATTAACGTACCTACGGGTTTGCTTGTTTGTAGTACACTTTGTACTGGGTACTAATTGTCGGTTATTAAGTAAACAAAAAAATCGTATTACTGTTTATGGCTCATTTATAGAAACGTTTACAATTACTATCGTTAAAAAAACAGCGAAAAATATGTTGGTAGGTATGTAACAAAAAATCAAGATTAAAAACCTTTTATTTAATTTTGATGAATTCATAGTGAATATGGTAGGGTTGTTTTTGTGTTTGGATTTTTTTCTTCGATGTCAGCGGTTTTTGATTTAACGTATACATTTTTTTTTTTTTTAAACGCCGCGTCGTATGTGTCGGTATGTGTTATATTTATGTATATAATATAAACGTGTGTAATATTGTGTACATGTGTACCTATGTGATTCATATATTATTGCTATCAGAGGCACAGGCTGTAAAATAAATTACTAGTCCCGAGAAAACACAAACACACGTCTTTCTCGGCAACAAAATAACGAACGACAAAATTATTAAAAAAATATTACAGTAGAGATAACTAATAGTTGTAGATATATTACTATGATACAAATTGTGGACATATACAAAAAATGTTTGTCACTACGGTAACATATTTAGGATATTTAGGATATATAATGATATATATTGTATAGTATACATATTATGTGTTATATTGAATTAGAACTGTGGGGTTTATTATGAGTCGTTCTTTATGAAATTACAAAAATTGAAGGTCATTTATGATAAAAAATTTTTGTTTAATTTTCCTTGCAATGAGAATCAGAATGTCAATTTATCGTGTTGGCCGAAAAAAATTTTATTCGAGTTATTGATTGGTGACGGATGAAAATATAAAACTCAATAGTTTCGAAATGCTTTTTTTAAATATTGTACAGTTTCGTATTATATATCGGATACAAGTGGGAAGTACTAACATGTTTTTTTAAAATCGGTTTTCATACCTTACATTATATTTTATCAAATCGATAGTAATAATATTTTAAAGTAAGCACTTTTTCATTTAATACCTTATGCCATAAAATCGATATTATCTGGTCGATGAATTGTGATTTGTTGGTTTATCTATTTAATCACTGACCAGTCATAGAATAGCAGATGGAATAATATTAAAATGATTATTGTGACATTTGACCACAATCTATGGGAGACGAGTGAAACTATTCTAATTGTCGTGGTTCTATGAACTAACTATAAATCTTTAAATACTACACTGAAATGTAATACAATGTTTATTATAATAATTGTATTAAAACAAAACGCCAGTATCAAAACCGATAAACAACGATTTATATCCTGGAAAGGTCTCGTTTTCAATTGAAAAATATATAATTTTGTAAATTAATTAAATTAAAAATGACCTTACATTTACACCATTAAATCTCATAGTTATGGTTTTCGTGTACGTATATGGTATGTACACAATTTTGGTAGTACAATTTATAATTGGTTTATAACGTAGAAATAAATTCGTTCATTCAGTTATTGTTAAATGGTACTTATAAAAATATATGTGTTATGTAACCAAATTACAAACATTGCTGGTAATGATGTTTTATATTGTGGGTCTACAAACACACAAATCCAATCTATTATCATAGGGCAACTCAAACCCTCTATTAGTCACTTAAACGTAATATAGTGGTATAATTTCAATGTCTATTATCTTTCGATTTAATCGGTTAACATAGAAAATATGGGTCGACCCGTATCTCAGCTCCCTTTGATATAATTTTAGTACGATTCAAATAGTCTCATTCGAAACCTAAGTCATACATTATAATGAAAATCTCTGACACGATAATTTTGTGGAATTATATGTATACTTTGTATAGAAGGATACACCGTTTACCCAAAATTTAGTTTACGGGTGCATTGTGTAATGGTTTTTTTCGTTCATAATAATCAAGTAAAAAAAAAAAATCGAAATCGGATGGTAAATGCGGCAGTTTAATGATGTAGGTACATTGTTGGTTAATGGTTAATCGGCAAACATGATATCGAATTTTTGATGCGAAACTGAATAATTTATCGTATTTGGGACATGGGACGTCGTAGACGTGGGACGTGTAAAAACACATCGTATACAATATTACAGTTGACGATAACGCACATTGCTCACAAAATGACGATCATACATTTGTATAATACGAAATCATTCAACGCTGTATAAAATATTACCGTAAATCGCGCTTCAGATTTGATACTGAAAACCACACACTAAAAATTCTAGTTTACTTTACTCTAGGCACACGATAAAGCAAACCGATATTTTAAAATATTTAAATTTAAATTTAACCAAAAATGTTTGGAATCTTTTTATCAAAATATCGTATTAGAAAGATCTTGGAACTTAAATTTAAAAAAAAACCATTCAGCAAAAATATCGATAAATAAATTTGAAAATTCAATGTTACATAATATATCTATGTATAATAATAGTCGATATAAAGATGTAAAATCGCTGTATGTTGCTAATAATGCAAGTAATATAATAGTATTATGTTCGACATTTTCGGGGAAATTATTGGGGAACTGAAAAACTCCTTATTTTGAGAAAAATCCCTCTCTTCCATCTTTCTCTGGGTTATCTTAGAACGCGGTTAGATTATCTTTCGATTTGTGTCGGTGGACTGTATTAGAGGTACGTGAAGAACTTTTCGAGAAAACCGGGCGCATGATGTGGTCCTTATATTATTTAATAAAATATTTTTAACGCCTGCAGTTTTATATGTAGGTATGTACTATGTATTGCAGTAGTAGCATTATAAGAATATATTTTTTATTAATGCATGCGGTATACACAAACACACACGTAGGACGGAATGCGAGGAGAACGCGAAAGGACGACGTGCGTACAGAGTTAGTGCTGCGACGGCGGCGAGTGCGTTATAAAACGGGCACGCGGTAAAACGATCTGAAAAGCGTCCTCGGGGGCGGTGTGAGCCCCTCGCGCTTTGATGGTGTCCCATTAATGCGGTGGTCGTGAGGTGTGGAAAAGGGGGTATGGAGAGGGAGAGGACCCCGGGCCGGATCGATGCGGCGGTGGTGGCGGCGGCATGTACAGAGCGGCAGCGCAGTTTTGGCGGGGCCGTTATACGGCCGATGACGGCCCTGCAGCAGTCGTGTGTACGCGGTCGAGCTTGCGCGGCATACGCGTTTCCGCACGCTCTCCTAAAATATTATATTAAACCATCATGATGGTCTATCGTACTTAGATTTACCGATGCACTTTCGTGAGTAGGTTTTGCACTACAGCAGCGTACGTTATAAAATATATTATATAATCTAGGCACGAATTGAGCATCTTAATGCGCACACCATCAATAGGTAAACATTACTGTGATATAAAGTCTGATATATTGTGTAGGGTTGGAGGATTTAATTTTATAATTACTACTGATATGCGGAGAGGCTCTCACCAACACACACCACGTTAATGAATTCATTGAATTTTTTTGAAATACATTTTTATAAATTTATTGATTTGAGAACACTGTATATTATTGATACAATTTTTCATAATACACCAAAAAAATCAAGATCTGGCTGAGGGGAATGCGATTCACCCTTTCCCATTTTTAACTCGTTATTTTATAATCAAATACCATTGCAGAATATTTGTGTTTAATATACGAGTAGGTAAAATAAAAGACATTATATAAAATACTATAAAATTACAAATTCCTTATTATATATTATAGTTTTTTCTAAAATTTCAATACAGAACGGCGATGATCAAAATCATCTATTTTATTACAGATGTCTTGTGAGCGAGTTGAATCTCATAAACCTTCTTAGCACTTATTCATATTACACCTAATGCATATACTGAGTTTGAGCGTTGAACACAACTACCTACCGCGGTCATAACAATATGTAGGTCAATAAGAATGTATGATTTATATTTGTTTTTTTCTACAAATGAAGAATTTCCCATACACTTGGGTTAATAATAAATAATAATGGTATGTTTATGATAATTATTAATTATGTTGCGTTTACAATAACAACAACGATTATATTGTATTATAATATTATGTACATTATTATACGTACGGCGAGTTTTCTCACGGGTCGTCTCTGTCGGTTCGCTGTCCGTCATCAATAACATTACAGCGATATATGCGAGTGGCATGTGGTGTATAATACACGTCGCAAAGGCACGGTCATTAATAAGTATCGCGCGTA